CCCTTCCTCACAGGCCAGGCAACTTACAACAACCCACAAACAGAAAAAAACAACACCCACTCTTCCCTACGTGCCTTCAACAGTCTCCCCTTGCTCCTTCTAGCCACTCCATGTCTCACAGCTTCATCTCCCCAAAACCAGAAACAAATATAGCCAAAGCTTTACTCTCTCCTGAGTGCTCTTTTCCCAAATGCTCTGTTCAGTCATCAGATTTGCAGTCTTTCAGGGAGCTTTTCACTTCTGTCCTACCTGGGCCAAAGTGCTTGGCTCTCCTCTGGAACCCTACTGATGTCCTGCTTGGCTTTGCCCCTTCCAGCCACAGTATTCTTGGCATATAAACCCCCTTCTTATAATAGGGCAGAGGGTTCCCCAATCCCCATCACATAATTAGGAGCCCTGTGGCTTTCAGCTTGTGGTACATGGAATTATAGTGTGTAGTCCTACAGCTTGTGACCTTGCAACTTGCACTTGCCCTCTTTTCAGTAATGGGGTTATGGGCCTCAATTACACTATCTCCTCTTCCGGTTAGTTTAAGAGTTGAACTGCACAGTTTTTTAATAAATTGCTTATTGGTTGGGTTTTAATTGCTCTTTAAAAATTATTTTATTAGTATATTTGGGATAAACCTGTTAAAATCCTTTTCTTTGTTTTAAGACCTGGACTGGTATGATGACACTCTTTACTGGAGCAACTCCATAGGAGAAGTTCATATGTGGTCATTGAGTAGAAGAGCTCCTGCCATTGTGAATTCTCCCCTATCTGACATCAAAAAAGCAAGGATACTGGCCTTTGATTGGCTGGGTCAGTGTTTGTACTGGGCTGGAAAGGCAAATACGGTATGTAAGAGAGTTATACCAATGATAAACTGCAGTAATTAATAACAACAACCGGAAATATTCAGAAAAGTATTTGTTACTGTCCTATACCTTGAGTTATACACCACCTACCTACAGCTTGAGCTGCTGTTGAAACTCCACTGCATAGAGGATCAACTTCCATCAGTATCATTGTACTATTGATTTTTGCTAACACGGTTATGTAGGGGCTGTAGATGACATGATTATTCATTAATTTCAGAATACAGAACAACAGATACAGAATATATAAACAAAATATAGCACCAAGAGGTTTGTAGGATTCAGCTACCTTAATGGTAAGTGAAGATAGTAAATGTAAAGAATGCTCAAGGAATCGCAGCTGATGAAGAGATTATTTTTTCTTAGTTATCCTTGTATCATTATCTTGTATAGCAAATTTTGTAAATTTTGTTCTATAAGAGGGAGGATTTTCAGAAGTGGTTTATACCTTACTAGTGTCATTTTTACCTCCAAAATAAATTAAAGGGCTCAATAATTATCAGTGCACTTCATGGACTCACAAATTAAGTACTTAGACATTTACATTATATAAAAGGTGTCTACATTAAGAAATGCAATGCTAAGTTATGCGGTGCTGTCAGGTTGTGCCTGTAATTTCTCGTGAGTGAAAAGTCAGAGGCCCTTTGTAAAATAGAATCATCAAGGTAGATTTCACACCGATCTGCACTTTGTGTTCTTGTTTGCGGTGAGTATGGAGTGGGTGTGAAACTCTGTTAGAGCAGAAAGCTGGCAAAACAGAGAAAGAAAAAAAAAGAGGGGAAGTTTTAGTTTTTGCTGTCGTCACTTTATAGCAGTCCCTAATAATAATTTTTCCTAATCTGTTATGTGCTGCTTTAAATACATGAGCCTGAAATAAATGGCTGTGAAATTATCATACATACATATATGCATATGCTTGTGGCTGATAACTGGACTGTGAGGTCCTGTGCTATTTTTTTTTATTCCCAGATCTATAGAAAATCACTGCTGGCAGGACACACTGATGTTGTGGTTTATGTCACATTCCTGGTGAAGGATCTTGTGATTGATTCAGTAAATGGCTATCTGTACTGGGCTACAGCTTACTCTGTGGAGAGTACCAGACTGAATGGAGAATATTATTTAATGTTACAAGAGCAGCCCCAGTTTTCTAATAAGCAGGTGACTAATTTTTAAAACTCTCCATTTAATTGCATACAATGCAGTCAGTACTAGTACTTGTCAAAATCATTTTGTTACATCAACACAAAGCACATTTAATAGCACATATCACTTTGATAACATCGTAATAGTAGATTCCTACAAGTGTTACTTTAAATATACCGAATAAAAAAATTTAGAGAGGTATGAGTTTGATAAGTTGTGTGTCGTAATGTTTTTTTATTTATTGATTTTGCATTTCAGTTATAGTGTCTGATGTTAAACCATCATCATTTTTATATGGCTACTGCATAGCATATATGCTATTTTAAGTTTTGATAAAGCTGTGGTATCTCAACATTGTGTGGCTCTTGACCTATTAATGAGGGCCACTCTACATTGCAGGTCTTGAGCAAGTATAAAGGAGCTAAGATTAATTTATATCCTGCTCTTGGATTTTTAAATCAAATGCTTGGAACAAAATGTGTAATTACTGGTTTCCACAAGTCATTTTGCCCTCTGTACCCTACTATGTTCATCAAACCTACTCAGGAGTGGAAAAACACAGTTTATCTTTTGAGTCATAACCAGCAACTAGACTGTCATTCACATTGATTTTTCCAGGCTGTATGCAAAAAGGTGGATGTGTTTTCCAAAGCAGCAGTTTCCTCTCTCAAAATAAAATAACTGCAGTGGTTAGTTTTGGATCTTGCAATCAAATTAGACTTATCATTGTAAGACCATCAGCAATCCATAGTAATTCACCTTTTTGGCTTTCAATCCAAGTCTTCTAAGTAAAACTCTGATTTTGTAGGACTCCTAAACAAATACAAGTACCTTTAAAATATTTTATTCTGCACAGGCCATATCATTTGAGTCTTGGCTAATTATTTTATATTAAACTATAGTAATTGTATTGCAGAGTCTCCACAGGTAGTGTATCTTGGTAGAGTTCTGTTGGTTTCACTGAGGCTATGATGACTTAGAGCAACTGAGGATCTGGCACAGCATGTTTAAATCAACACATAAATTAATTTATTTAGGCTTACAATATACTTATGAGGTAAGTACTTTATGAAGAAGCAGTGAAGCACACAGCAGGCAATATGTGCCAGGCATTGGTTAACTGCTGCCTTATGAAATGTTGTAAGCCACAGGGTATTTCAAGTAGCTAAATTTATGTTGCATCTTATGATCCAAAGTTATATTCCATGATCGTAACTATACATCATGTTCAGAGATTACTACCTATCACACGATGGAAAAAATCTTTCTATTTTTGTAGAACATAGAAGGGAAGGTGTTAAATTACTGCCTGACCCTGGAATATGAATACTATAAATATTTGTTTTCCTTAATGTAAACATTGATGGGAGAAGATAGATAATCCTTCTACAGATGGGGGAGGAGCATAGCAGTGACCAAGAGAAGGACAGGGAAAAATAAGAGCCACAAATGTCTTAAAAGCATACATTGTGTATGCTTTTATGAGGTATTTCATGAGGAAAAGGAGACAAAATGTGGTGCAAGACATTGCAATGAAAACAGGTAAAAGGGTATAATGTAAGAGAAGATGCACAACTAAATATATACTTGCATGCACTCATGCCAAGAGATATTTTTACCAAGGAAATCTACAACAGCAATAATTAAAACTTCGATTTTCTGGCGTAAAATATGAACAGTAATATAATAAGAATGTAGTTACATAAGGATCAACAAGCAGCTAAATAAATGACATGGCATTTTTTTCTTTCTTTTGTCAATATCTTTTGTATCTTATTAGTGAGGGGTAAGATTATGGATGCTCTATTAACATCTATAATTTAATCCTAATAAAATTAGATAAATCTACTACTGGACAGAGTTTGGAAATGGATAGACAGATTCTTAGAGGCAGTGTGTCAGTATTGCATGTAATTTTGCACTTGCAATTTTGTGCATGCAACAAATTGCAAACTCAGTTTTTGTAATGAGTTGAAGATTCATAGGATTGAATTTAGCTTCCTAAACTGTGGGGGACAGAGCGTGTTATCACTCACAAATCAGATAGGTGAAAGCTTGATATCTATCATTTCCGCATGCAGCATTGCATCCATTATGGCCCGCAGATGTGAAATTATATCTGGTCTTTAATTAAAGAAAATAAAAAACCAGTTACTTTGTTTCTATGAAATTGTCAATGAAAGTAGGGGCAAGGGCTGGGAAGGTTCTTTATTTAGATCACTGCAGAATAAAATGTATAGATTACTGTTCTACCTGAAGCATAAGCATTATGAATGAAATGTTTAATTGAACATTTTCTAAATAATTAAAACAATTTCCATAAATGAAATCAAGCTGTGCTTAAAATATCTACCCCCCCACCCTCAAACTTGACAACATAGTGAGAGGTTATGAAATATTACTCTAAAAAATGGCACTGTCTTTGAGATTGGATGTCAACCATCTGTTTTGGATAGAGAACATTAGAATGCCAGAGGAGTTCACGCAGCTTTTAATATGGGGGTTTTACTAACTACTTGATATACTACTACCATACTATCTGAGGCACTCAGATACTGCAAGGATGAGTGCCAGGGTAGATGCCGATAAATATAATTAAACATTTTCTGTAACATCCTCAGCTGCTATAAAATAGGTGCCATTCAATGACATCAACAGAGTGCTGATTTATACCATGTGAGGGTCAGAACATTTGTCTATTGTTTCCCCTTTTTATGCTATGTCTACTTTGGACTGAAAACTCATTGTGGCAGGGGCCTATCATTTTTATGACCACTAAAGAGCAGTTCATGCCTAAACAACAGTAATGCAATATGCCCCTAAGAAGTGATGCTTTCCATGTTGCATTTATATTGCTTACTTTCCTGTTTGGCTTTTTCTATTTTTGAGGTGGTTTCTTTAGCTTTGGATCTCAGTGGTGGCTTCCTCTACTGGTTTGTGCAGGACAATCTACACCTAAATCTATACAGAGTCTCCCTCTGTGAAGAGAGGTAAGGATATAGATAGAGATATAGATGTAGCACAGTGAACAGTAAGACTCATGGGACCTTCTACCTCCTGTGCTTTTGCTTTTAAGATTGTGTATTGGACATTGCTGACATATTATTCGTAATAATCATATAATAAACAAGAAGCAAAACTTCCAGCTCTTGTCTAGCTCTGTGTTGTGTTATCACATGACTGTTAATGTTTTTTTATAGTGAGAGACACAGTGAATATGGACCCTTGATTCATTTGATATTCTATTCATTTGTATAATGGACTCACCAGTAAACTACCAATGGTTATGATTTTCAATTTTGTCTTAAATCTGGACCATTTTTAAAACTCGACATTTCTTCAATACCAAGAGCTGCAGCTATCTTTTGCACTTACATTAGGGATGGAATCTGCAGCCCTTATTCACATGAGCAATCAGCACTCGCGAGGATTTTCCCCTTGATTACCAGGAGTATGAAGTAGCTGTATTGATCACAAATGGCAAAGCCTGAATTATGTGGGTCATCTCAAATGAATACCAATTAGATCTTCAAACCCCATAATCATGTATATCAGAGGTGACAAACTCATTCAGCTCTGCCAGCTGGATGAGGGGTGTGGAGCTTGTCTGCAGGCTGGATCAGACCCAGAGACTGGTCTCTTATGCCTGATGCAGCACACAGGGTGGGTGTAGTGCAGATGCCACATATAGCAGGTTCCTTTGATAGGTGTGCCTGATGCTTGCAGTGTGCACATGCTGGCTTCAGCCCTCCACATTGCATGCAGCATATGCAGGTCCTCACCCCATGAGTAGCAAACAGTGTGTGAGGCCAGTCTGGGACACATGCTGTACTGGTCCTGTGGGCTGGATCTAGCATGTGGTGCTGGTCTATGGGACCAACCTGGACCAGCCATGGATCCAGTGTGCAGGACCTCTCCAGTATGGGTGCCACATGTAGTCTGACCCTGGACTGACCCCACGCACATCCTGTCTCCAGCCCCGTGTGGCATGTGATGCACAGAGGTGGTCTGGGGTGTGTGCTGCATAAGGTACCCACACTAGATAGGCCCGTGTGCTGGATCTGGCACATGAGACCAGTTTGTGGTCTTGATCTTGACTGGCCCTCAATCTTGCATTTATGGCTAGTCCAGTGTGGGAGCTGCATGCAGTGCACATCCCAGACTGGGCCCATGCACTATGTGCCTTGTGTCTACTGGCTGAAGCCCTGCTGCCAGGTGCAGCCCATGCCAGGTAGGCTTTCTGCACCACATGCAGCACATGGGGCCAGGGCCAGCACATATTGTGTGTAGTGTACTACTCCATGCCCTACAGGCAGCACTGCAGGCTGGAGGATAGGACTCCATGGGTCAGAACTTTTACACCTCTGATATATACCATGTGTGGTACGTGATAGTATTTAACAAAGTCTGCACATATTTATGTTTTATCATACTTTCATGTGTACAACATAGGCAGTTGTTGGCAAGTCCAATTGTACTAGATTCAAAGTGAACCTGTAAAATGACTTCATCTTGTGTGTGTGTGTGTGTGTGTGTGTGTGTGTTCATTTCTTATGGAGTCCATTTCATTTGAAGCCTGATCCCAGACTCAATGAAGAATAAACACTGTAAAACCAAAGTGTGTTGTTTAGATTTAGTATTAGAGGCCATACATACAACTCAGTTGTGAGCCAACTGCTAGCCATAAATCATCTTCTCTGGCATACTACAGCAGAGGGGTAGAAGTAATCAATCTGAATGAGCCTGACAGCATACGTAAGCCTTTCCAAATTTGTTTTGGATAGCATGTGTCTAAGCTGGAAGACATTTCTAAGATGGTAAAGTGATGCCTTGGTTATATATTTAATCTGTTACCTAGAGGATAAATTGGGATCAAAGAAAGCCTATAGGGTATGACACAGAAGTGGTATGACAGATCAAGTCACCAGTTAAGGCTGGAGGAAAGAACGGTTACTTGAGCTGAAAAAGTGAGGGTAGGTTATCAAGAAGATTACTAGGGCCAAGTTTGTCATTGCCATTAATTTCAGTAGGAGAACTAGACTCTGACTCCATGGCTTCACTGGAATTCTTGGGTGAGCAGCTGTAATTTTCCAAATGCATAGTTCTGCACTTAGGTGCTAATATGAGTATACACGAACCAAACTGTGTGCTTTAAAACAGGAGTGTGAAACCCGCTTGGTCCCACAGGCCAATCCAGACCATGGGATGTTCCATGGTCTGGACAACCTGTGAGTGGTGGCAGTGGCATTAATCCCCCTGGGTGCTAGACCTGCTGTTTTATCATGGCTCCAAAACCCAGAGACTTAACACCACTGCACCTGGCCTTTCCTTTTCCCTAGCCTCCAGTTTTACTCACCCTGGAGTGCCTAAGGATAGTGGAGCTGCACTAAAACAATAGCTCAAGCAGCTGTGGGAATTAACACCATCACTACAGGAACTTTGGAAGCCATGGCAAGCCCAGTGGGCCAAATCCAGCCCATGGACGTGGGTGGTCTAGCTGAAAAGAAGCCCCATGGACCAGATGACTCACCTCCCTGGGCCAGGTCAGGCCTGCAGGGTCAAAAGAGTTTGACATCTGTATTTTAAAAGACTGATTTGGGTACAGTCATGTGAAATGAGGCTCCAAGTTTGAGGGACAGTGCATTAGAGACAGGTCACTCAAGAATGTGTGTGCCTGCAGATATCCTTAGTAAATTGTAATATACACTGTCTCTTTTTACTCATCTTATGTAATATTTTAGTATAAATGTTACTTCTTTTTAAAGGCATCGTCTTACAAAAGGTGAATAAATTGGTTTTACTGCATCAGAGTTAGGAATGTCCAACTCTGAGAGACTCAAAAAACCCTTTTTATTTGTTCTTATTACTGACGTGGAAGGTGAAAGATGAAGGAAAACAGCTTAAGGTGTCACACATTGTATAGGTCTTTTTCTTCTAAAGAGTAGGCTGTCTTTTAGATAACACCAGGTGTTTTTTTCACAGTTGTGGTAATGCTGTAGTCACTGAATTGGCAGCATGGAGTTCTTCAGGAATATCCCAGAATGCACTGGTATATTACAGTGAGCGGCTGTTCTGGATTAATGCCCAGCAGTTCATTACAACACAGGAAGTTGGTCAGAGTGTTGGTATCCCCTTTTCAGAGCCAGCAGCGTTTTCAGCTTTTACCCTTGTTCAGAGATCTCTCAAACCTCTGCCAGGTATTTTATTTTTTTTTATATAAAGTACTTTAAAATGTATTCCTTATAAGCTTGTAATTCTTGGTTATTAAAATCTAAGAGGAACAAGATGTGGACAAAAGTAGCTTGGTAATGAATTTAGCAGAATAAATAGATAACTAGCAATGACATAAACCAATAGATGCAGGAGTCAAATGACATTTATGTGGACGAAGTACTGCATAATAGATCAATTTATTATTAATGGCAACTTCTTTTTCTTTAAGAACAATAGGTTGAGTTTCCAAAAGCATCTGAGTCCCACTAAAAGTCATCCAGGAAATTTTGAAAATCCTACCCAATGTTCTCAATTCTTAAGTTTTTAATTTTTTTTTGGACAACAGGAAACTTTTCCTTTGTGCCCAAAGTGATCCCAGATTCAGTTGTGAAGTCTTCTTTTAAGATTGAACAAAATTCTTCGAGGTTTCATATCCTTTGGAATGCCGTTACAAATGTGGACTGGGGCGTTGTCTTCTACTGTGTGGAATCCAAGGTTCTACAAGCCAAGGTATGCACGAGGCTCCTTCCCATTAATGTACCTGGACATTTTTAACAACAGAAACACAGTCTCTCCCTGTCATGTCATTGTGTACAAATCAGTCTGAAATATAAAATGTCACTGACCACCTAAATAATAGCTGTAGGTTTCACCTTTGTTTAACTTTAACCCATTTATTAACATGTATTGTTCTCTGAGCAGCAAACAGGCAGGTTGTCAGCTGGTGTCAAGAGAACTGTGGCAGTGTATAACAACTGAGGGTCTGCTTAAAAATGAATTTAATTTCCTAGTGTCAGGAAGGGAAGCTTTGAAAATCATAGTAAGCCTGGGAATGTTTAAAAAGCTTTTTTCTGAGAGAAGAAAAAATATTTCTGTGGGTTTTTTCTTATTTGACAGTTTGCAGATAATGAACGGTACCTGCGACCACATAATCTGACAGTACCTGTCTATACAGTTGAAGGGCTGGAGCCTTATACACTGTTTGATTTTACTGTTACTCCTTACACCTACTGGGGCAAGGGACCTATGACATCCACCTTCCTGCGATCTCCAGAAGAAGGTACTGGAATTTCAAATGCCATTCCTAAGTCTTCATTGAGTACAATATGATCTAGTTTACTTCAGTCTGTTGGACCCTGTCTTGAGAGCTGTTGAATTGCTTTCAGGGTTGGACAATTTAATTAAAAAGATAGTTGTCATGCATGCCTGCATGCACACGATTGCAAGAACAATGATCAGAATAGTACAGGATGCTATCCATCAAATGCTTGTACTGATAAACTACCTTTATAATCTGAAGTTTATGATAGGTGACAGTAAGATCACATTGTACTTTAAACAGATATTTGGGTTTTTATAAATATTGCTTATTTTTTACTTCATAAGTATCTGACTTAAAGTGAGGTCAAAGGTTAAGGGGGCCCCTGACAGTATACTTCCTGCAGAATTAATGCATATGAACAGGACATACAGAAAATACACCCATCTGGCTGATTTTTGAAACAGTGGGCATAGCTACATGAAAAGCTTTACTGTACAGTAGACTAATTTACTGTGCAGTAAAGTATCACCATCTACATGTGAAGGCATTTAGTGTGAAGTAAATTAGTCTACTGCCTGGTTAGTTTGCCACCTGCAGGGTAGCAAAAATTGTCTGTAGTGAGCGTTGTGATGGGGGTGAGCTGAGGTCTGTGGCTGGCCATCCAGATGCAGGGGTGCAGGATGGGGTGGTCTGCCAGCACCTCTCACACCCAGTGCTCTGGCCCCCACTCCCAGATGTGCAGTGTGCCCAGGGCCTTGGGGCAGGGGGGTGGGTGGGAAGGCCTGTCGCTGTTGCTGCTACAGCAGTTGGTGCTCCCACTACCAGGTATCCTTTGCCTGCTGCACCTTCTCCACCCATGCTTCATGGAAGAACTCCCCCCAGGCCTCGCAGATGTTATGCAGCACACAGGCTGCGGTGATGCCCAGGGGATGTTGGCCTCTGTAACCTTGAGGCAGGTGGTGAGGGTGCACCAGTGTCCCTTCAGGTGGCTGAAGACGCACTCTACCAGGGTGCAGGTCCAGCCCAGGCACCTATTAAAATGTGCCTGGCAGGGATCTAGCTGGGCCTCATGAGCCAAGGGAGGAGTGGATAGGCAGGGTCACTGGTGAGGAGGGGTGGGACTGTCACCTCACCCAGCTGGAGGTCTGGCACCCCTGGCACAAAGCACCCACTCTCCACCAGGGCAGGCAGGGTGGAGTTGAAGAAGACAGGGCCATTATGGGCGCTGCCAGCCCAGTTGGTGCTGACATTGGTGAAAGTGCCTTGGTTGTCAATGACTGCTTGCAGCACAACAGAATGAAAGCCCTGCTCATTTCCACCTGCCCCATATGGTGGGCAGGTGACAGGGATAGGGGTCCTATCTAGGGCCTGGATGCTCTGGGGAAAAACCAGGGTGCAGAACCCTGTCGCCACCTCCCAGGCAGTCATGCAGCCAGAGCACACTGTGCCCAAGCACATACTGGAGAGCACCACAGACCTCCAAGATGGTTTTCATGGCGGTTACCTTGCCCACACCAAAGAAGTGGCTGATGTAGTGCAGGTGTGATCAGCTTGAGCAGGTTGATGACCAGCTGGGTCTCCATGGGAAGGGGCAGTCAAATGGTGGTGGTCTGTCACTCCAGATGAGGCAGAGCTGGTTGAAGAGCTCCTGGAAAGTGGTCTGGGTCATCTGGAATGAGTCCATCTACTGCTCATTGTCCCAGGTGCACTGGATGATGTACAGTCTCCAGTCCTGGCTGGACAGGTAGGCCCAGGAGCTCATGGTGGTGTCCACGTGTGTATCATTGGTGTCCCTGCCAGGGTCTGGGCAATGGGCCAGGGGCTGGTCAGCATCAGTGCAGGGGCAAGGGGCCTCAGATGGAATGGTGAGCCTGATCATGTCGCCATGCAGCATGGGGGGAGGGGTAAACAGGGTCGAGACTGACTGGGGCCAGGCAGTGGTCACTGCAGCAGCAAAGTTTGGTGAGCAGGGCAGCAAGCAGGAGCACAGGATATGGGTCATCTCTGCCAGGGCCTTGGGGGTGGACCGGCCATTGCATGGTGGATGCAGGCTCTGCCAACAGAGGTGTAGAAGGCTGTGCCAGGACACTACAGACTACCCTGGGTCAGAAATGCAGGTGGCCAGGGGGTACTGTGTGAGGCTGCCATTTAAAGAGTGCCCCTGGTCCCCAGGCAGCTGTGGCCAGAGCCTCCAGCTTCCCCTGGATGGTGCAGTGGGGTGGGGGGCAGTGTAGAACAGGGCTGAAGGAGGCCTGGAGCAGACTATGACCATAAGCAGCAAATCTGCTCCCAAATGGCTGCACATGCAGATTCCTGCCCAGGGCTGGTTTACTGCACAGTAAGCTGCTGTACAGTAAACTAATATAGCATTAATTGCATGTGTAGACATACAATTAATTGCATGTAGAAATCTCATGAGGTTCAAGAAGGACAAGTGCAAAGTCCTGTACCAGTACAGGGTAGGGGCTGACTGGCTGGACAGCAGCTCTGCAGAAAAGGACCTGGAGGGGTACAGTGGACAATAAGCTGAATATGAGCCAGCTGTGTGCCCTTGTTGCTGTCATGACCCAAAAGGCATGATTGTGTGTGTGCTTTGGCACCAGAATTATCCCTGTCAAGTTGCAGAGCATTGCATGGGAGAGTTTCCTGTAGCAGAGGAAACCCCGGTGCAGGGACCAGTTTCCTGCCTTTTCTGCAGCTTCTTTTGCAGAGTGCATTGCTCATGTTGCGAGAGGAATGCACGGTGCAAAAGAGTTCCTGCCACCGGTATGCAAATTTGTTCCCCATAATTGGCTAGTGCTAAATTATTCACACGTGGCAGCTAACGATTGGCCTGTTAGCCGTATAAAAGGCTTGAGCAGTTTCCGCCCAGGCCAAAGAGGACTCCACATCCATCTCATGGGGACTCTGGGTACACGGCAGGGGAATAGAAACCCTGTGGGAGATTCAGAGGAGTTTGGCGACCTGATCCACCGCCCACCTCTTTCCGTCTTCGAGCGATCATTTTTTTTTAAGACGTATCTACGAGGTTTCTATTTTGGTGGCGCGCTTGCCCAGGGCATCCGGAGCTCTGTTTCCGTGGAGCCTAGCAAACTCCACGTGATTGTTCGTGTTGTTTTGTCTGTAACTGCAACTCAAGCAAGTTTTCCAGCCTGCAC